CCGTGTGAATTTGTCTCATATCTCATCCATAATGCTGCGGGCACTGCAGGCCGGTGTCCACGTCAGAATACCACTGCATGCCAATTAATTTCCCTCCTCTCTTTGTCACCGGTACCTTGTAGATGCTTCCAGAAAGGGACTTGATCAATGCATCAGCAGATTTTTACTGAGTACGTATTGTGTGTAAAGCACAGTAACTTGTAAAATATTTTGAGACCATTTTTTTTTGCTCTGCAGGAGCTGATAACATGTTAGAAGGACAAAACAGAGGCTGAATTGAAAATTTATTAAAAGACAACACCACCAAAATTATACTGAGGCCAAGTGTGATCAAGAGGGACAGATGAGGGGTGTAGACAGGGCAATTCCGAGGAGCAAACAGCCCTACCTATTAAAGCAGGGTGAGAAACTCTCAAGGAAGAAGTGGGCCTCAGGGTAAAAATCGTGGAGGATTCCATTCAGCATGGAAAAGGGTTCCATCTTGAAATACTAACTTGTACGTTTTCTAGGTGTACTCTCCCCTACGGTCATTTCCTGTTTCTCCAGCCAGAGTGAAGCAAAAACAAAGGTTCATAGAAAACTTCATCCTAAGTGGAAGACTTTTAAGGTACATGGAGCAGAATTTTAGCTCACTCTTTAAAAAACACTGGATCTGGAGAAGAGATGGGAGAGGGCTGACGAGTCATTGAAACTGGAGAGAGAAGAGAAGGAACAGGGAGCAAAAGAAGGACCTTCGACCTGTGAGGGCTGGGACCCGGGCAGAAGCAGATGGACCACAGGCTATCGGCTGACGAGGACCCCACAGAGCCTTTGGACGGCGGGCTGCTCTCTCCCCTCCTGCTCCCTGCCTGTGAATGACCTACCACCTTCATGTGCTGAGCTCCTCTGGGCCCCTCTTCTGCCTCACCCCTAACTCAGGTGAAGGGGGCATGGACATCTCGGGAGGGGGAGGGATGTCATGCAGGACCCTCAGATCGAAGTAGGACCCAACAGGATCAATCGGGAGTTCCCCATTGAGTGAGGACACTGGTGACCACAGTGATGTATACAAATAGGAACAGGCATAGGAAGTAGTCTCTAATCCATTTAGAATAGGTAAATTGGAGTCATTCTTAAGTTTATAAAAAGTGCCACTGACAGATGGGCTGTTGCTTGTATACAGAGTCTGCCCCATGAGGCAGACGCTGTGTCCAGCCACACACGGAGACTCGACACACCCCTCACCCCATAGACACACTCTTCGGTAACCCCTGTAATCTTCTCTTTTAACCAAGCCATGAAACACGATCCTCTTAGGATGGCCTCAAAGAATCCGTACCATATGGGTGTCCTGGATAGGTGAAGAAATTACCGGGTAGTGGTATTATCAACACAGGATTTCAGGATTGAAATGGTAGTGTTGTCTTGTAAAGCAGAAGATTTAACAACTGCCACAAGCAGAAAGGGAAGACCTGTGAAATCCTTTATTTACTTCTGGGCCTGCACTCTCTGGATAAGATTCCAGCCAACTGAAAAAGTTCATGGGTCCGATGAACATCCATCCATCCATCCATCCACCCACCCATCCAACAATATTTACTGAATGACGACTATATTCTAGGGACTCATTTAACAGCAGGAATTTTAGAAGTGGAGAAAAAGGAAAACCCCCTGGTCTCATCGTGCTTATATTTTAGTCAGGGCAGATAGACAAAAACAAAATAAAAAGGTGTAAAATAAAGAAGATGATGAAGAAAAAGAAAATGGGAAAGGGGCATAGGAAATTCCAGGGCTGGTGGAGGGAAACCTTAAGTTTTTTAAAAGTGGTCAGGGAGGGCCTGTCCGAGAAGGTGACTGAGGGAAGGCCCAAAGGAGCCCGTGGGGGGAGCCATGAGCACGGCGTGGCGAAGTGTCCCAGCAGGGGAACTGGCGAGGGCAGAGGCCCTGAGCTGCTTTGTGGTACATGAAAGCTGTTGTGTAGGTAGCAAACTGAAATGTCCACAATTTCAATGACTAACAGACTTGTAACAGCAAAATACACATAATGAGTCTTTGGTCAAGGTAAATTTATGTGTATTCTATGTGGATGTCAATTATCTATTACCAGAAGATACTTAAGCTAAATATTGACTGATTTTTGCACACACTGTTATTTTCTTCTTTGGAAATAGAATGCTATGTCACCCCAGAAGGATCGGCAGGCTCTCTAATACTGGCACCTTGGAAGTTGGTGATGGTGGCAGTCTGTTAGGACAACTCTGATTGCCTACTGACAAATTAAAACAGAAATTGTCCTGACCTGACCTCACTCTAATGTAAGTCCTTAACTACCAGAGTAACAAAGAAACTCTTGTCGGTGTCATGCCCTCTTCCCAACACCAGTATTAGATTTACATAGCATTGCAATCTTTCATGGGGGTCAGCACTCAGCATGTTTGGCTTTTAACTGGCATCATTAATCAATGGGATGCTAATCCAGAAAGAATAGCTATCAGCCTAAGGCAAGTGGCAGGAAGCGACCTTGTGAAGGTGACACTCACTCGACTGCAGAGTTCATTCATCCTCACGCACTTTACACCCTTGTCAAGTCTCCTGAGACCCCTTGCAAGGGCTGTCTTCAACCCCTCTCCCAGCCTCACACTGGAGACTGCAATGCAGTTAGCAGCAGGGCCTTCAGACTAAGCGGATATTCGAGGTGTCTAGAGACTTCATGCCACGCTTCCCAGCAAGAAGCAATTGTCTCCATTTGAAGCAACATTCCCGGTGCTAGCGGGCAATTCAGTTTGAATGCTTTTATTTGTGGCGCTGCAATTGCAAACACATTTGTCTTTTCGTAATTGTAATCTCTGCCTGAGAACAAAGCAGGCTAGAACACAGGGCAGAACGCAGTCACCCTCACTGTGGGCCAGTTTGGGCTCCACCAGACTTCCTAGTTCCTAGTTAAATTATGAGTGGCAGATCTCATCATTTATTTCTCATGATGCCTGGAATGTTTATGAAGAATCTGTGTTACATAAATTACACATCTAGCTCTTCACGAGCTCTTTTCTCATCTTTTTTTTCCCCTAAGTGAAGCATTTCTGTCTGTGTGTGCGTATGTGGAGCCGTGAATCAGCAGACAGGAGATGGGCTTTTCCCCACCCCCACACACGGCTACTGGAAGTACATTTCTCCATCTTTAAATTTATCTCTCTGTCTCAATTTTCGCATCAGCGTGAGGATGTCTTTTTCTTAAAAGGGTTTTCGTGGGGATAAAATAAGCCTATATATGTGACAAATACAGGCGCGCTCAGTATCACAGTTTTAAAACATTGCTCGTGAGTGCAGACAACCCCTCCCTACTGCCAGTTAACCCAGAACTGCTACTTAGGAGCTTTGGGAAACTCATTAAAAAAAGGATCGCAGTTACTCCACCAGGGTGACGAGGGTATGTACGTCAGCATAATCGACAGCACACGACTTGACAACAGGTAATAGCAGTATTATAACAAATAGCAGTATTGTGGTTTACAGGGGGTGTGGGGAGTGTGCCAAGTCCCGAACAAGCCAGAGCCCCAGAAACCCAGGAGACTTCAAGCTGCACTGCCCGCCTGCTACAAGGGTGGTGGCATGGCAGCCTCCTGTCCCCTGGGACTGTGCATCCTGCTGCCGGCTCCAGCGCCTGCCGCCGGCGGCCGCCCCCGCCCTTTCCTGGCCCTGGCCGGGACACTTGGGCCTTGGAGCTATTAGGGCAGGCGCCAGGGCGGAACCGGACCAAGGCTTCTTGGATAACTCCGCCCTCGGAAAGGAATTGCAACGCCTAACTGCAGATTTCATTCATCTCAACAAGGGACTACTCCTATTCAGCCTGATTAAAATAGAACATGGACTTCCTAGGAATTACCAATGTGCAGTCCTATGTGCCACACGTTCGCATATGTGAGAATCCTGAAGACCAAACAGCGAGACACTGTTTGCAGTTCAGGTCTGGAATGCTTTCCCTCTCCCAGGTGTTTCACACACCAGGATGTTGCCTGTGATCATGGAACTCAAAATGAGACACTTGTGCACGTTATGGAACTTTTAAAAAAAAGCTAAGTTGTTTCCTTTTTCCAATCTGCAAATTTATTGTTTAGTACTTAAAAAAACTGCACACAACACAACACTTTTAAATTACAATTTGGTAGTAAATCAGTTAGCATTTTATTTAACCTACTGTTGGTCAGACAAGGGCTAGATTACACAAAAAATAATATTTAATATGTGGACAGAAAAAGGGTTCTATGGACAGTGACCTCACAGGTGGATCTCTTCATGAATTCCTAACTGGATAACTTATTTGGTGGTGGCTAGGCCCCAGGTATACAACTTTTCCCACAAATGTTTATTTTTGCCTTAGGCAAGCCCTATCCATTTTTCTGGTGCATCTAGGTTAACACAGCTTTGAAACAAGCATAACCACCCCAAAGGGAGCACATGATCTTGTTAACTGTCATGTAATCCAATCCCCACCTCGCTGTCTCCCAACCTTCAGATAAGAATCTTCCTTAATCTCAAATGCATGGAAGAAACTGAAAAACTGTTATTCTCCAGGGCATTTGAGATCTTGCTTCCTCAAAATTGTCATCAGTTTTGGCTCAAGTCAACTCTTACGCAAATTCCCTACAGGCTTGGACATTTCTTATGTCAACAAGTGTGTTCCAGCAATCATTTATGGAGTGCCTGCTCAGTAACAGGCACCGTGCTTGGAATGGGGGACACCAAGCTTGGGAAGTGTTTGCAGGTGGAGGAGGTGGGTGGGGAACAGCAAACCAATATGTTTAATATGTAAATGTGCTGGGAGAAAACGCAGTGGGCAATGGAAGCCAGAAGTGGCACTTCCAGTCTGGAAGTTCAGAGAAGACTGTCCTGGGCCTGAGTCCAGTCTCGGAGGATGAATGGGAGCGGCCGGCAAAATTGACGGAAGGGTGGGGGACAGAGGGAGGAGTCTCTGGTTGAGTGAATAGCAGGGGCCACAGAATAGAGATGTGAAACAATACCATGCCTGCAAATAAATGTACAAGGAAAGCAAGAGGCAGAATATGGAGGAAGATGAGCCTGGAGAGAAAGGTAGGCAAAGGCTGGCCCCTTGCTAAGAAAGTTATACTTGACTTTGGGACAGGTGGTGGTTGGAAAGGCTGGGAATGAATTCACCACTTGGCCTGAGACTTAGAGGATCTAGGAATTTTTGCGATAAAGCTCATCACACCACCAAGTGTAAAGGAAATGTCCGAAAGGCCCACACCCAGAAAGCAGGCACTGATCTTAAGAGCTGATAAATAATGTGCCTTCAGCCTCCAAATGTTGCTCATGCACAATGTTTGCTGCTAAACTTCCTTTTCCAAATTTCAGCACCGCATTTTTTAAGCACCGGGATGGATTATTTTAACACAGTGCTTTACAATTTAAAAATTTTTCATGTTAAAAAGGATGGCAGCCCACACTTGGGTAAAAAGATAAAGCTGTTTTCAGCCGAAGAGAAATCCACCCTTTACACATCCTTCTCTGGAGGCTTCGAGGACAAGGGCTGAGGGAAAAGCCCTATCTTGGGTGGAAACCATTTGAGACAGAGCCAAGACTCTCTGGATGGAAGGTTTTCTATTCCCTCCTATTCCAAAATCCTCTAATTCTTCAACCAGAATGCTGAGTGAACCAGTATGCATTTTATTCAACAATGATTTAGTAAGTACCTAGTATGTTTGGGCATTGGGCTGGGTATCAGGGATGCAGTGGGGAGCAAGATAAATTGGATTTCTGTCCTCTAGGAACATAAAGGCCAGTGATGAGGGTGTTTGGGGAGTGAGGTGAACTTGGAGAAGTGCATAGGAATTACTATGAAGCATGCCAAACGTGATGGTGGGGGCACTGTATCTGGTAGAAGACAACAGGAGCATGACCAGGCATCAGAAAAGGCTTCCCTATAGGAAGTGACACTTCGGCTGAGAGCTGGAGGATGCATAGGAGGGGGCCGAACACACAGAAGGAAGAAGAGTATCCCAGGCAGAGGGACAGCATAAGCAAGAGTTTCAAAGGCACTTGCAAGAATTCAAAGGAAATCCCTGTAGCCAGAGAGGAGCATGGGGGAGAAGAGAACTTGGAGATGAGGGGAGGAAGGTGGGAAGGAGACAGGGGCCAGGTCCAAGGGCTTTGGCAGCCTCTCAAAGCTGCCCTGTGCCTGCCGCAGTGACCAAGTGGGACTTCACATTCCTTTCTTTAGTTTACTTTTGAGGACAGCAACTCACAGAGAGGTCAAAGGATGAAACATTGACAAACGCACCATGTCTTCTTTTGGTTCCCTCAGGATCAGACCTTGATACAAGCATTTCATTGTCTGAGGGATAAGTTAAGGAAGCACCGGCAAGGAAAGTGGGAAAAGGAGCAAGAAGGGAGAGTGGCTAACAACTGGGCAAACAGTTGTCCCCTGGGCAACCAGGGAACACTCAACAGCAAGCCATGGAGTCACTGCACCTGAAGGTGATAGGAGCTGGAAAGCTCACTGTTTGTCACTTTGGGGTTGAAGGTCACAGGAGAGGTGGGAGGCGGGTGTCCATTCTCCAGTGTTTTCAGTTCGCTATACAGGTGGGTGGGCAGGTTTTGGGGTTCAGAGAATACCCTCAGGTAAAGGAACAGAGTGTGGAGATGTGCCCTTTTGGAAGCTGGCCAGTGTGCACTAAAGTTGCAAGGGCGAGGACACTATAAAAGCTGCTGCACGGTTTTCGGGCCCCAGATATCTGTGTTCCAGTTCCAAGCCCTTATACTGCACCACGTTGGCTGGATTTCCACCCGAGTGGCAGGTGAAAGACAGCTGGCAGTGGATAGAACCAGTAAAGCCATAGATTACTCTGGAAGTCTGGGCTGAGGCCTCAGCAATTCTCAGGTCCATAGCTCTAATACTATTTTTCCTTAATCGCAACACAGATTTCCCATAATTCTTTTCTTCACTCTGGAGTCTTGATACTGAAGGAAAACATGCCAACCTGAGTGTCCTAGTAATTGAAGAATGTCAACTTTAACTAGGGAAATAAATGAAACGCCACAAAATGAGAATTTAGTGAGGCATGGGGTATTGAACAAGGTCAAGCACTTAGCTTCAAACAGCTGGATTAATTAAGGTAAAGTCATTTGGTTTGGGATTTTGGGGGCAATCTGACTCATAGAATTTTTCAAGAAATAAATGGGTCATAAGATTGGGAAATCTGATACTTAATAACTTAGCTTTTGGAGCTAAAATGTTCAGAGTGGTTTATCTTAATAACAATTTTTCTTAATAAGAGGCTGTGGAACAAAGGGAAGAACAGGCTCTGGTCTTCCATTTTCTTCCTGGTTTTCTGTCCTCATCAAACATTTATTGTGGCAAGCCATGTGGATTTAAGTGTCAACATCGTGGTTTAGGCACTCAGGGATTTCATGGTCTGGAAGAAGACAAGCAGATTAGGGCACACTCACTGACAAGGATTGGGACCTTGGGACAGTCTGCCAGCCTCTCTGGGTCCCAGTTTCATTGGGAAGAGCCTTGATGGAGGAGATCAGTGGTTCTCAACCTTGGCCAGCCATTAGAGGCACTTTGGGGAACTTCGAAAGAATAGCAATGCCCTGGGTGGCCCCACTCCCAGAGATTCTGTGTGGTCTCTTCTAGGGTAGGGTTCTGGCACTGGTGTTTTTTTTTAAAAGCTCCTAAGGTGATTCTAATGAGCAGCTGAGTTTGAGAATCACTAGATAATAACTTTCAAGTTTTTGGTAACTGTAGAACTCATGCTTTTTCTGAAGAGAGTTTTCTTTCTGTGTAAAGTCTACTGTGTAAGTCAATAGAAGGCAGAAGGTAGAAGCTAGAACCTACTGGTAAAACCATATCAAGAGGGCTATGGAACTCTGGGTTAGGTGACCACAGGTTGGCCAGTACCTGTGCTCTGAATAGAACAACCATTCCAGAAACAGCAGGTGCCCACATCATTTTTTCCTCAGAAGACACATTCATAATGCCAACAACTAATTATCATACCAAGAAAACAAAGGCTGAGGGAGAGCAGAGGTGGGTTGGCAGCACCATCAAGTTGTACAAACCATGACTCACCCTTGGCCTAGGCCAAAGCATCTTTGTAGCAGTTCTCTGAGAAGTACCTGCTGGCTGCTTTGCAAAGGAAAGAAGGCGGTATTCTTTGCTGAGGGCCTAGAGGAAAAGGGAGATCTTCTCCAAGCTCCTACATCCTCTGGTTGGCTTCAGACCACAGCTCTCATGAACTTTCCGTCGTAGGAATAGAGAACAGTTGGCTTACACATCCCTGTTCTGGCTTGCTCACTACACTAACAACCTCTTCTATTACGTGTAAGGCAATTAAAGGATGAGCATAGAAGCTGGCATCTTTCCTTTAAAGTAAAAGCCAGAGCTTATGTTTTGCTAGTGCCAGTTTCCTGTAAAAACAGAGTTTCTTATTAGTGATGACAGAAGAGCCATTGGAACGATCTCAGGTCATGGTTCACTTGGAGCCTGCCCCACGCCCTTCTGAAGCCCTCTTTCTGGGACACGTCTGACAAACTCTCTCCCTAAGAGTGTCAGCACCAGCAGAGTTACCTCACCTTGGCAGAGTCTATTAATTTTTTCAAGGGACTGATTCCTCAGAGCATGTTGAGGGGATGAGGTAGAGGCATGTATAAATTGCTTGTACTTTTTCTTGCTGGCTGTGAAGCAGGTATTGCTCCATCTAACGGAATGTCTACTAAAAGCCAAAGGAACTTCATTCATTGGCAAACACATTTCCTATTTTATCTTCTGCAGCAGATCTTGTATGAGAGAACTTTGGAATGTGTACTGACCACTTGGATCATGAGATTGAATTAATCAATTGATTACAAAGGAGCCCTCAATTTACAAGATGGAGACCCATATCAGCCCAGTGAGAGCTGGGTGGGTTAAAACTTGGAGCGACATAACCAGCCAAAGTTAGCTTTGTCGAGTGCAATGTGGGTAGATTATTCAGACATTAAAAAATGAGAATAGAGTTTTCCCAACTAGATACATTTTTTGTATTTAAATTGTATTATTGTTTTATTTGGAAAGCAACATATATTCTTAAGTAAAATGTAAAAAATACAGGGATAAAATTTTAGAAATCATTATATTCTTACCCAAATAATGATCAAGGCAGCTTATTATATTTTTGTCTAGTTTTACTTATTTATATTTCCAGGCTAGATATTCTAACCAAAATATTATTAAATCAAACTCAAATCTTTTTGAATGGCTTGCCAAATAAAATGCAGAATTCCAGGTTAAACTTGAACTTCAGATAAATAAAAAAAATCTTTTAATAAAAGTATTTCCCAAATTTTGCATGGAGTATATTTATACCAAAATATTATTTGTAGTTTATCTAAAATTCAAATTTAACTTGGCCATCTGTTTTTCTATTTTGTAAATCTGGCAACTTTATAAGTAAAATGAAAAAAAGGGAGAGGATCTGCTTACCCTAATTGATACTAATTTTTTACAAAGGGAAATTAGTTTTAATAAGAATATGAACTCTCTACCACCACTTGGCAATAACTAAGTGAAAATGAAAGTGCAAAATAAAAAGAGAGTAAGAAGAAAAGAAAAATAAGCACGTGATATTTATAGTATCAAAAATGTGAACTGAAGTAGTCATATTATGACTAACCAAAGTTGTTTAAAATGTATAAAACAACGGAAAGTATTTTTGAGTAGCCATTAGTTTTAGGTTTTGAAAGTACTGCAGGAAATTCATTTTGGTTTTGTAGATGACCATCAACACTGTTTATGCCTTATGGAGCAGTTCTAGGCTTTTCCCTTTTCAGATAGAATATGATTTGTGGCTGTTCATATCTGAAATGACTCTTGGGAAATTCACTGTAAGATCAGTCAAAGGCCAAACTATGAGCTGTCGGGTTCAGGAGAAATGGTAATCAGTGAGGAATGGAGACTGTCTCCCTAGGCCTCACCTGCAGTGTCCTGTCCCTACCATTTGGACACCAGTGGGGTTCTGAGGGAGGTTTCCCACAGGGCCTTACACAAGAAGGCATTGTGAGACCCCAAAGGCCTGGAAAAAACAAAGGATCACTTGTGAACCCTTTGCTGTATTCAGTGGGTGCTGTAGAATTTGCATAGTGGGAGGGCTCCTGAGAGCTGCAGGTGGCTGGAGCCGTGGCCATTCTGGAGCAAGCACACTGTCTTTATTTTGGATGGAACATTTCTATGGGCCAGCTGAAGGAGCAGTTAAAAAAGGGATAGTGGCGACGGTCTTAATCACCTACCTCCCAACACACGTATTCCACGTCATTGCCGCTGACATTATCATCAGATGGCATGAGTTTGAAGGATTAGAAGGAAAGAAAGGCTAGTGCTCTAAAATATGACTTAAATGATTATAGCAATATTGGGAAGAAACCTGTCTCATCAGACTGGACACACTGCATGCTGTCACCATTGTTTCTCTCATTTTGGTTTTACCCAGAGACACCTATTCAAAACGCAAGGCTGACCATGTCTCTTCTGACAGTAGGTATAGTGCAGGTAGGTGGCCCTGGGCGGCTGATGACCTCCAGCAGTACCCGCTCCCATTGCACCAGGCACTTGCTTGCCTCCCATCACCTTGCCCACCTACCTTGTCGATAACACCGACTTCGAGTTTTATGGGATAACATACTATCTCATACCTCCATGTGCTGTTTTCCTTGCTCCCAAGAAAGCACTGTTCCCTTCCTCCACTCCCCCGTCCACTAAAGGCTGCCTGCTGACCTCTGGGTCCTCTTTCAAAATCACCTCAGATGTCAGTTTCTGCAGGACTCTCTCCTAAGGACTCCTGACACCCCCAGGGTTAAAACCTCTCTCCTTTATCCTATTTCTGCATCCTTCTCACACTTTATGTCCCATCAGATTCTTTGTTCGTTTTGTTTACACTTCCTCCTTCCATTCTTAAGGTTGTTAAGAGCAGGGTACATCTCATTACTCATCTCTATTTCCCTCCTACCTCATAGATAATCACCATGGATGATTTGTTGGATGAACAAATCCTAAATTTTAGGATTAACAATTATTCAATATTCAGTTAATGTCAATGTATTTCATTAAAATAAATTATTCGATACATTTTGAAACCCTGAACTCCCATCTGTACTGATGGGACAGTCAATAGTGATGCCCTGTCCCGGTCTATGCCTTTGAGAAACAAGAGAATCCTTGGCCAGAGAAATCACAGTACTCACATTATAGAGAGTAGCTGCTTTCATGCTGTCCATCAACACAAGCCTTTGGATACCTGCTAGGATTCAAGTCTTGTTTGAGGTGAAATGTTACAGTCACCCCCTCTCCTTAAACTCATGCATAAATAAATCCTTCCTTGGAAACAGGAATGGATTACTTGTCAGTATTCCTCAGAGACTTCCCTCCACAGGGGGTGATTCATTCCATGAGGCATCAAGCCTCTTGGACTAATGTCTCAAAGAGGTCGTGCAAGTGACTA